TCTTTTTCTGTCTTCATGTGTATTGGTGTTTCTCTCTCTCCCTCTATCTCTCCTTCCCTCTTTACACAGTCATCTCTCATTCACCTCATTTGTCTCTACACATTATCTCTCTCCCTGCCTCAATCTCTCTACACACATTCATCTTTCATTCTCTCCCCTTCCCTCTCTTCTTCTCTCATCTCTATCTTCTCTCCCCTCTCTCTCCTACACCTCATTTATCTGACCGTGTCCTAGGCAAGTCTCACGAATCATTTACATAACCTGTATTATAGTAGTATGAATCCTGCTTGCATAATTATGTAGTATGCTAGTGACAATATACTCTCCTGGTATAGAGTAATTAGACCATCAGAGAGAATATATTCTGGTATATTGCAATTATACCACCTGAATTCATGGGAATGTGTTGTATGAGGTCTGTATCTGATAAATCGCGATTATACTACACGATATTACGCGATTAAATACCTGATATATACTTATAACACTTGATATAATATCGCTATTATGCCATCGATAAAAAGTGCTTATATATCTTATATAAGGAAATTACATAGATATAACTTAATAATATTTGTTAAAACCTGATTATGCCACCTGATGTAACGAGATATTTCGGGACTGCTTCAGTATATGATGTGATTATAACCTTTTGATATCATTTGATTATACTTATACTCTAAATTGACTATGCCAACTGATATAATTAATAAGTAATTTTATTTAACGAAAATCATACACATGATATAACGAAAAATGTATATCTATATAACATGGACGTATTCTGTATTATATCACAAATATACCACATGATATAACCGATGTATACCGCATAACAAGTTAGAATATCCTTATATAACACACATATATCTGTATGAGAAGTGTAAATATAAATCATGGTATACTGTAAATTACCCCCAAAATATATCTTGTGGATATACTAAGTTATATGACTTGCTGAGGAAACCTAGAATACAATATGTGTTAATTTGTTGATACTTAACCACCTTCCTTCTTTAAATGACATTGTCTGTGTGTCTCTTCCTATCTGTCTATCTGCCTTCCTGTCTGTCTATATCGTTCTCTCTCTTCCCCTCCCTGTCTGTCTGTCTGCTTGCCTGTCTGTCTGTCTGTCTGTCTGTCTGTCTGTCTGTCTATCCGTCCGTCCGTCCGTCTGTCTGTCTGTGTGTCTGTCCATCTTTCTGTCTGTGTCTGTCTCTGCCTGTCTGCCTGTATGTCTTCCTGTCCTTCTGCCTCTCTCTCTATCTCACTCTCTCAGTAACCAACCCAAATCATCACGACTGAAAAAAATATATAGTAAAAATAAGATACATTTCCTCAATCCTAATACAGTTCCACTTTTTATTTTCTTAAACACCACAAGAATTCCAATCATACAACCACAACTTACTGTATTATTCAGGAATACAACAACTAAAACACAGACTCGATTGGTAATCCTTTTATTGTAAAAATATGATATTGGACAATACACGTATTTACAATTTACAAAACGAAAGTAAATACGATTGACCTATTACAGTAAATATTAATCTTGGGTTTTATTATATAATTTATGCCCATACAATTTAAATTATTAAAAAAAATAATTAAGATTAACTTGGGAATGGATTAAATATACTAAACTCTTTTGATAATTAAATAAAATGAGTTTATGATTCAGATTATCATATTAATTGGAACTAAATAGAATTAAATCCAAGTAATTATTAATTAACCCATTTAGTTCTCACGTGTTATATCAGTTCGTAATTAATTTAGCAATGGATTAAGCTAATTGTTCCTTGTTGATTAATGATGCGTTTCAGATAATCGAATATTACATAAATTCCGGAAAATATATTATTAAACTCTAGGTTATTTTTACCCACATGAAAGTTTCAGGTTTTATTAGGAAAATAATATTATATAACTTAGGAATTAAATCATTACTTTCTATTTTAGTAACAACAAAAATAAAGACAATTTTCCTATATAACTCAGGAATTAAATCATTATATTTTATTTCAGTAACAACAAAATATAAACACAAGAATTAAATAATTGTCATAAAGTTTGAATATGTAAGGAAACTTTAAATAAATTTCACTCGCTAAAAATTCAAGTGTCATAAATTTTTTCCCAAAGTTATTCAGGAATATATTAAAACATTTCCTCTATTTTAATCAAATGATAGAACCAAAAAATATAGTTTTTGTTTATAATATATAACTCAAACTGTTATACAAACTGGAAATATGATGAAATGCTGAATAAGAATTTACTTAATAAATGTTTAATAATGTAGGAATATACGTATATAAAAACTATATATATTTTTAATTATACAAGAAAATGATTAAGTCTTCTGAAACATGATTAACGGTGTTGCATAAACTGGGAACATATCATATTTACCCCATTTGGTATATAAATTATATATAAATTGGCTTCATATATGTATAAGTAGTTAACAGGTGATAATTGTATAGTTTTATATCAGTGAATGTTGTTATAGAGAAGGCCAGTGATGTGAAGTTATGAGAGAGATATCTTCATTATATTTCGATTCGAAGTCTGAATTTTGGCATACAAAATGAACTCTGGCATGAAAAAAAATCGAAAATTAACGAACAAAATTACTATTTTTTTGGTTCACACAGTGTGATAATAAACACCTATAGCTAAATCTAAACAAAATCTAATTCTATTTCTATTTTCTATAGCTGGACTTTACACACACACATAGAAATTGGTGGGCTGATTGGGGGGTGATGGGGTGGGGTTGATTACACTCACCCTGCAGGTCGATTTCCCCCAGGTCGAAGCTCTAAGTCGATTCCCGTAAGCAGAGTACTCCAGGTCGATTCCCCAGGTTGGTTCCTTTAGGATATTACCCCCAAGTCGATTTTATGGGTCGATTTCTGTGAGCTGTGTACCCCCAGGTCGATTCTATAGGTCTATTTATTGTAGGTAGAAAACTCCAGGTCGATTCTCTAGGTCGATACCTTCAAGCAGAGTCACACAGGTCGACTCCTAAATGTCGACTCCTACACGTCGATTTGTCTTATCAGATACTCATCTCTTTTTCCCCAGGTCGAATCCTCAGGTAGAGTCCCTCAGGTCAAATCTCTTATTGGTCTCTTTCCCCAGGTAGAATCCCCCAGGTCGACTCCCGTAGATCGAATAATCCGGGGGTAGACTTCCGTAGGTCAATCTCCGCTTAGAGAGGAAATACAGGTAACCTTTGTACAATTGCCATGAACAGGTAAAGTCCTCGGCTCTAATGACCTCACTGGCCAGGTGTGATTATTTGTAAACACTGTACAATCCTCCGGTGACGTCATTATTACGTCATATTACGTGGGTCACTTGATAGATGATGTTAGAATAATGTCATGTTCCTTGAATTGTTTACTAAATGTCGTCATAATTACGTCATCTTACATGGGGTTACTTAAGAGATGACGTCACTATTACGTCATATTTATTGGGTTTTTCACATTCAAGTTCATGATTTTCTAAGGTAATTCTAAGTTCTTAAAAAAAGGTATAATTTTTGTTAGTAAATTAAAATCTAAGGTAAGTTACATATGGTGTTAGACATGTTGAAGTAATCACTTAAAACATAGAATATTAGTTAAAATAATTGAAAACTACCACAAGAATTTTTCAGTCCATTTTGAATGACTAAAATAATTCGTCGGGAAAATTCACAAGAGACAATTCAACAATTCATTTGATTTTATTACACTGCTTCGAATGTTTCCTGTTATCTTGTGTATCGTTAAGGTGGAAATTATTACTGTTTTTGCTGGGTTTTCCTCATTTTTTGGGGGTAAAGTCTTGTTTTTTCTTCTTCATAAAAAAATCATTCAGAGGTAATGAATGATGGTGGCTAGATTCATAAGAGGAACTGACGTCATCATGCCGAAGGATAATCATTGGTTTATGGAGGTGACGTCACATGTTATTGTGACCGCTCATTTGTTTTGGGAAGTTGACGTCACAATATTCCTTAAACGGTCAATATTTTGTAGAAGAGACGTCATAAGAAATCATGTAGCTTCTCTGGCAGGATAATGACGTCACACGAACCTATGACAGCACAGCACACTATGATGTTTATTGGCTTCTATGAAAATTATGTCACACAGCACTATAATGTTTATATACGTATGATGACGCTGGTAGAGAGAAAAAGAGTTTACAATTACGTCACAGCCTCGAAATACCAATCACGTTCGAGTTCAATGATGACGTCATAGATCACATCAACATTTTGTCCAATCACGTGTCATGTTTACATTCGAGAGGGAATCATTCCGTTCACACATGTTAGTTCTTATCTAAAATGTATCGTCACTATGACAATGACGTAGACTAATAGGTTGAACGATAAAATCAGTCACTGTACATAAAAAAATGGAAAAGATCCGTACGTTTCAAGTCTCAAAAGGACTTTAGTAGAGATGTGAAACGATGGAAATAGACCCATTCAAGGACACACACACACACACCGACGTTTCAGAACCCCGAATGTCCTTAAGTCTGAATGCCCGTGGCTGGGGGCGTGTCCTTGTTGCGGCGGCGTATCCACTCCACGGACACGGCTCCATGTCCTTCCGCTTTCGTATACTTGTCCACATCTCCATATACAGGTGTTCGAAAATAGGTGTGAAAGTGAGAGGTGTGAGGGGTGAGAGGTGTGAGAATGGGAAGCAGAGGGATGAGAATGGGAGGGAAAGGGATTTGATTGTAAAGGGGAAGAGGGATGAGAGGAAAGAAGAGGGGTGAGAGTGGAAAAGTTAAGGATGACTAAGGGAGTGAGACGGATGAGAAAAAGAGGGACAGGTGAAAGTGGGGGAAAGGGATGAGAATGGGAGAAGAAATTGGCGAGAGAGGGAAGGAAAACGATGAGAGGAAGGGAGAGGGAAGAGAGTGAGAGAGTGAAAGGTGAGAGTGGGAAGAGGAGGGAGAGTAGGATAAAAAAAGAGGAAGAGGTTTGGAATGGGATGAAAGTGAGGGAGAGAGAGAGGGGGGTGAAAGAGTATTATGAGAGGAGGAGGGAGAGCAGGAGGGTGGAGAGGAATGTGAGAGTGAGTGAGAGGGGGAGAGTGAGCGTAGCCACCAGTCCCAGGCCGCTGTTCTCGTGCACGATGGCTGCCGGCTGGTCCCCTGTGTGAGAGAGGAGGAGAGAGAGAGAGAGAGAGAGAGAGAGAGAAAAGAGAGAGAGAGAGATCACGTAAAGTAGTATGATAAACATTTCAGAAAAGAATTTATATAAAAAATACCTGATATAGATATAGAAGGTAACAGCTGTCCAACACACCTGTTAACACTTGTAATTAACTTAACACCTGTCTCACACACCTGTAAACACTTGTCATTAATCTAATGAAGGTAACCACTGTCCTACACACCTTTAAACACCTGTCATTAACCTAACAACTGTCCTACACCTGTAAACACTTGCCTTTAACCTAATAACTGTCTAACTCACTCATAAACACCTGTCATTAACCTAATAACTGTCTAACTCACCAGTAAATACCTGTCCTTAACCTAACAACTGTTCTACACACCTGCAATCACGTGAACGTTGACACTCTTGGGCTTGGAGTTAGCGGGTGAACAGGTATAGACGCCTGTGTGTCGCGTCTCAGCGAACTGTACCAGGAGTCGTGAGGTGGTGACGACCCCTTTCTCCGTCGACACGACCACTCCGCCACGCGTCCTCTCGTAACTCACCAGCTGAGGGAGAGAGTGTGAGATATCAGGAGGGAGGGTCGTAACTCAACAGCTGAGACAGAGAGAGTGAATTACTGTGAGGAGGGGTCGTAACTCATTAACTGAGGGAGAGAGAATGTGAGTTACAGTGAGGGCGGGTCGTAGCTCAACAGCTGAGGGTGAGAGAAGGAGATACGTGAGGGGAGAGTCGTAACTCATCAGCTGAGGGAGAGAGAATGTGAGTTACTATGAGGAGGGGGGTCGTAACTCATCAGCTGAGGGAGAGAATGTGAGTTACAGTGAGGGAGGGTCGTAACTCAACAGCTGAGGAATGTGAGTTACTATGAGGGAGGGTCATAACTCATCAGCTGAGAGAGAGAGAATGTGAGTTACAGTGAGGAGGGTCGTAACTCAACAGCTGAGAATGTGAGTTACTATGAGGGAGGGTCAACTCATCAGCTGAGAGAGAGAGAATGAGTTACTATGAGAGAGGTCATAACTCATCAGCTGAGAGAGAGAGAATGTGAGTTACAGTGAGGGAGGGTCGTAACTCAACAGCTGAGAGAGAATGGAGTTACTATGAGGGAGGGTCATAACTCATCAGCTGAGAAGAGAGAAATGAGTTACTAGGAGGAGGGCTAACTCATCAGCTGAGAGAGAGAATGTGAGTTACAGTGAGGAGGGTCAAACTCATTAACTGAGAGAATGTGAGTTACTATGAGGGAGGGCCGTAACTCATCAGCTGAGGGAGAGAGAATGTGAGTTACTATGAGGAGGGGTAAACTCATCAGCTGAGAGAGAGAGAGAATGTGATTACTGTGAGGGAGGGTCGTAACTCATCAGCTGAGAGAGAATGTGAGTTACAGTGAGGAGGGTCGTAACTCATCAGCTGAGAGAGAGAGAATGTGAGTTACAGTGAGGGAGGGTCGTAACTCATTAACTGAGAGAATGTGAGTTAATGAGGGAGGGTCGTAACTCATCAGCTGAGGGAGAGAGAATGTGAGTTACTATGAGGGAGGGTCATAACTCATCAGCTGAGAGAGAGAGAATGTGATTTATCAGAGGGAGGGTCATAACTCATCAGCTGAGAGAGAATGTGAGTTACAGTGAGGAGGGTCGTAACTCATCAGCTGAGAGAGAGAGAATGTGAGTTACAGTGAGGAGGGCCGTAACTCATTAACTGAGAGAATGTGAGTTACTATGAGGGAGGGTCGTAACTCATCAGCTGAGGGAGAGAGAATGTGATATTATGAGGGAGGGTCATAACTCATCACAGCTGAGAGAGAGAGAATGTGATGTACAGAGGAGGGTCGTAACTCATCAGCTAGGAGGAGAGAGAATGTAAGTTTCTTGAGGGAGGGTCAACTCATCAGCTGAGGAAGAGAATGTGAGATACTGTGAGAGAGGGTCGTAACTCATCACGGAGAGAGAGAGAGAATGTGAGTTACTGTGAGGGGAGGGCCAACTCAACAGCTAGAGAGAATGTGAGTTACCATGAGGGGAAGGTCGTAACTCATTAGCTGGGGGAGAGAATGTGAGTTATTGTGAGGGAGGGTCGTAACTCAACAGCTAGAGAGAGAGAATGTGAAATGCAGAGGGAAGGTCAACTCATCAGCTGAGGAGAGGAATGTGAGTTACTGTGAGGAGGGTCGCAACTCACCAGCTGAGGAGAGAGAGAATGAGATACTGTGAGGAGATTCGTAACGCACCAGCTGAGGGAAAGAGAATGTGAGTTACTGTGAGGGAGGGTCGTAACTCATCAGCTGAGGGAGAGAGAATGAGTTACTGTGAAGGATGGTCAACTCATCAGCTGAGGGAAAGAGAATGTGAGATACTGAGGAGGGCCGTAACTCATCAGCTGAGGGGAGAGAGAATGTGAGTTACTGTGAGGATGGTCGTAACTCATCACTGAGGGAGAGAGAATGTGAGTTACTGTGAGGAGATTCGTAACTCACCAGCTGAGGGAAAGAGAATGTGAGATACTGTGAGGGAGGGTCGTAACTCATCAGCCGAGGTAGAGAGAATGTGAGATACTGTGAGGGAGGGTCGTAACTCATCAGCCGAGGTAGAGAGAATGAGATACTGTGAGGGAGGGTCGTAACTCATTAGCTAGAGGGAGAGAGAATGTGAGTTACTGTGAGGGAGGGTCGTAACTCATCAGCTGAGAGAGAGAGAGAGAGAGAGAGAGAGAGAGAGAGAGAGAGAGAGAGAGAGAGAGAGAGAGAGAGAGAGAGAGAGAGAGTGAGTTACTGTGGAGGTTTTAACTAATTCATGTCTCTCTGTGTTTACTATCTCTCAGTATGTGTTATGGAGACAGTGAGACCTAGAATGAAAAGCCCGTCTATCTCTTCCCGTCTAAATGATTCTCAGTGGATAGTCTTCCCGTCCCGCCACTACAGTCAGAAGCAAACTCTTCTCGTCTCTCCCCGTCGCACCGTCGCAGTATCCTTAAAAGGTAGTCCCTTACTCACCTGAGGACCGAATTTTTTACCCGAGACCATAAAAAAGACCTAATTCGTAAACCTGAAACCCTCTAGAAAATTTCCGAATTCGTGACCTGACACCATCCCGAAAAAGGGACCGAATTCGTGACTTAAGGCCATCCAAAAAGACCGAATCTGTGACCTGAAACCCTCTAGAAAATGACCGAATTCGTGACCTGACACCATTCCAAAAGGACCGAATCTGTGACCTGAAACCCTCTAGAAAATGACCGAACGACCTGAGGCCATCCAAAAAGGACCAAATTCGTGACCTGAAACCCTCGAGAAAATGACCGATTTTATGACCAAAAACCATTGACAAGGCCTAAAAATCACCCTTGTGCTTTTCCCCTCACTACGAGGTTAAGCCCTTGGCAATACTGCACTTGCTGATGTTGTTGACCTTGCAATATTGTGATTGTTGCAAGGCCAGGAAGTGAGTTGACTGAGGCTCTGCAGGGATTATAGTGAGGTGTGTGTGTGTGTGTGTGTGTGTGTGTGTGTGTGTGTGTGTGGTGTTTGTTTTGTGAGGAAAGAAAGAGAGAGAGAGTAAAAACAGAGAGAGAAAAAGTAGATAAATGGCTGGATAGAGATAGAAAGAATGAAACAGAACAAGAGATAGATAGACAGGTAGAGAGAGAGACACAGAGAGAGAAAATAGAAAAACGAAAGAGAGAAAGAAAACTAGAGAAAACGTAGATTAATTTCTGCTTGTGTGACTGTGAGAGAATCAACAGAGAAGCATTGACCATGGAAAAGTGTAGGTTTAACTGACTTACCTGCAGGGAGAGGGAGGGAGGGGAGGGGAGAGGTAGGGGAAGGGAAAATAGGTAAAAGGGAGGGGGAAGAGGGGGAGGGAGGGTAGGGGAGAGAGGTAAAGGTGGGGAAGAAGGTAGGAGGTAGGATGAGGAAGGAGGGGCTGGAGGGAGGAGGGAATGGTATGGTAGGAGGGAGGAGAGGAACGGGGTAGGGGAGGGAACAGGAGTTGGAGGGAGGGGTAAATAGGAGGAGGAGAGAGAGGGGTAGGAGAGAGGGTGGGGTAGGAGGGAGGTGGGAGAGGGCAGGCGGGAGGGTGGAAGTAAGAGAAAATTGATAAAGATTGAAAGAGAAAGTGATATGGCGATAGAGGACTGAGAAGAAATTAAGAATGATTACTGTTGAAATTACTATATAAAATGAGAGAGGAGGAGGAGGAGATAGGGAAGAGGAGGAAGGAGAGGAAAGTGGAAGAGGAGGAAAATGAGAAGAAGAAGGTGGAAGAGAAGGAGAAGGGGTAGAAAAGGAAAAAGAGAAAAAAATAGGCGTGAATAAACTTAATAAGAGGCGATAGAGGAGGAATATTATAATAAGAAAAACGTCTAATAAAATGATAAACATTATGAATAAGAGATAGAAATAATAAATACAGATAAAAGCACACAGGTACAATATAATTAGTAGATAAATGATGCAAGGAGAGGTAGAACAGGTATTGGGAATAATTAAGTCTGTTTACTGAGGTTTTGTCCTTAAAGATACAGGAAATTGGAGGGTCTTAATGGAGGAAAACACTCCTCCATCCTTCCCTCCTCCCACATCCCACTCTCCCTCTCTCCCTCTCACATTCCCCACACACTCACCCCTTCACCCTCTCCTCACACCCCCTCACCCCCTCCCTCTCACATCCCCACCCTCCCTCCTCACACCCCTCACCCTCCCTCCCTCCTCACAACCCCCACCTCCATCCTCTCACATCCCCACACCCTCCCTCCCTCCTCACAACCTCACCTCCTCTCTACATCCTCTCTCCCTCCCTCTCACATCCCCCCACATTATCACACCTCACCCCCTCCCTCACATCCCCACTCCTCCTCTCACACTCCCTCACTCCCTCCTCACAACCTCACCCTCCCTCCCTCCTCACATCCCCCACTCTCCTCCTTCCCTCTCCATCCCCCCACATTATCACACTTCTTCACTCCCTCCCTCCCTCTCACACTCCCCCTCCCCTCCCTCCCTCTCCACAATCCCTCCTCCCCCCTCCCTCTCCACATCCCCCCTCTCCTCCCTCCCTCACATCCCCACATTATCACACTTCTTCCTCCCTCCCTCTCCACATCCCCCACCCTCCTCCCTCTCCTCACACTCCCCTCACTCCCTCCCTCCCTCCTCCACAATCCCCTCTCCCTCCCTCCCTCACATCCCCCTCTCCTCCTTCCCTCTCACATCCCCCACTCCTCTTCCCTCTCCCACATCCCCCACATCACCCTCCTCACTCCCCTCCCTCCCCCTCACATCCCCCACTCTCCTCCTTCCCTCTCCCTCCCCCACATTATCACACTTCTTCCTCCCCTCCCTCCCTCTCCACATCCCTCTCCTCCCTCCCTCTCACATCCCCAATATCACAACCTTCCACCCTCCCTTCACATCCCCCACTCCCCTCCCTCCTCTCACAATCCTCCACCCTCCCTCCCTCTCCATCCCCCTCTCCTCCCTCCTCTCACATCCCCACACATCACATTCTTCACCCTCCCTCCCACATCCCCCACCTCCTCCCCTCCCTCTCCCACATTCCCCACTCCCTCCCTCCCTCTCCTCCCCTCACCTCCCCTCCCCTCCCTCTCCCCAATCCCTCCCCTCCCCTCCCGCCCTCTCACATCCCCCACTCTCCTCCTTCCCTCACATCCCCTCTCCTCCTTCCTCTCACATCCCCCATTATCACCCCCCTCCTCCCCCCCTCCCTCTCACATCCCCCACTCTCCTCCTTCCCCTCCCATCCCCCACATTATCCACACCTCCCCCTCCCTCCCCTCTCAATCCCTCCTCCCCTCCCTCCCTCTCCACATCTCCCCTCTCCTCCCTTCCCTCTCCACATCCCCATTATCACACTTCTTCACTCCCCTCCTCCCTCCACTCCCTCACCCCCCTCCTTCCCTCTCACAATCCCTCACTCTCCCCTCCCCTCTCACATCCCCACTCCTCCTCCCTCCCTCTCACATCCCTCACATTTCACACTTCTTCACTCCCTCCCTCTCACATCCCCACTCCCCTCCCTCCCTCTCACACTCCCCTCCTCCCTCCCTCCCTCTACAACCCTCCCCCCCTCCCTCCCTCTCTCACATCCCCACCTCCTCCTTCCCTCACATCCCCATCATCCACCTCCCTCCCTCCCCCTCCCTCCCTCTCACAATCCCTCCTCCCTCCCTCCCTCTCACATCCCCCACCTCCTCCTTCCCTCCACATCCCCACACATCACACTTCTTCCTCCCCTCCTCCCTCTCCCACATCCCTCACTCTCCTCCCTCCCTCTCCCACATCCCCCACATTATCACATTCTTCACTCCTCCCTCCCCTCACATCCCCCACTCTCCTCCCTCCCTCTCCCATCCCCACATTATCCACCTTCTTCCTCCCCTCCCTCCTCTCACATCCCCCACTCCTCCCTCCCTCTCCCATCCCCCACAATATCCACTCCTTCATTCACTACTCCCTCTCCCTCCCCCCCCTCCATTCTCTTCATTCCTCTTTCCCCCCCCTCCCCTCCTCCCATAGTCTCTCACCTACCTTTCTGTCTACCTTCACCCTCACACCCCACATTTCCTACTCCCTCACCCCCCCAGGCGAAGGTCCAGCTATATTCACCAGCTGTCGGAAAGATAAGATTACGGTATTATTCATGGCCGGATCCGGAGCTTGAGAAGAGACGACTTCCAAACTGAGTTCCGGTGGATGGGGGGAGGGAGGTGGGAGGGGAAGGTGAAGGACGGAGAGGAGGAAGGGAGGAAAAGTGGGAGGTGGATGGTGCATGGGGGAGAAAGGAGATGGGGAATGGGAAGGAGGGGTCGTGAGGGGAGGGACGACTACTATGAAATGGGATCAGGTAGGTGGAAGGGAGAGGTAGGGAAAGGAAGGGAGGGAGGGAGGGAGGGAGAGGGAGGGCGGGGGGAAGGTGGAAGGAGGAAGGTAAGGGACTGAGGGAGAAATGCGACTTTCAGTAACTGGGATCGGTGGGCGGGTGAAGGTGGGATGGGGAGGAGAGGAAGTCCCATGGAGGTATATCTCTGAGAGGATTATCCGGGAGGGGAGAGTGAGAAGAGGAGAGGAAGTCAGAGGAAAGAGGGAGGGGGGTTGGGTGGGAATAAGAGGGAAGGTAAGGGATGGAGCGAGAAGGGAGGAAGAGAGAGAGATGGGGAGTGGGATGGGAAGTTAATAGTAAAGAAGTAAGAGGAAGTGGAAGAGATGAAGGGAGTGGGAGGAAGAGGGAAGGGGTAATAAGGCAGAAGGAAAAGAATGAGAGAGGGGGAGAAGGAGGAAGTAAGAAAGATGATGGAAGGAAGAGGAAAAAGAGAGAGTGTGAATGGAAGAAGGAGAGAGTTGGAGGGAGTCAAGGTTTCCCTCGATCAGCGAAATAGCTAACAGGTTGGCACAGGCCGGATTACTGCGGAGTTCAGCAGCAGTAAGCCTCAGGTATCCGCGTGCCAGCCTGCAGCGAGAACGACGCAGTAAGGCATTTTATAACAGCATTATTGTACCTGTTGTAAAGAAGAAGAAAGAAGAGAAGTAAAATGTGTGTATTCCTTCCTTCCCCTCCTCGACCACCACCACTAAGTAGGAAAACTCTATAATTTCACCCCTTCACCTCCACCCACCTCCACCCACCCCCTCCCCTTCACCCCCGTCAGAGGTCATAAAACACGCGAGGGTGGCAGCGCCACTCCACCCTCCGTGTACCCGTGTAAGAGGAGGCCGAGTGGAGAGTGTGGTGTGGTGACCGTGTTGTTGATGAGGTCATTTTACAGTGACATTTGAGACGGTCAACTCCAGGAGGTATTCGGGGCTTCGTTTGTTTATTTTTACGTCCTTGGTGATGTTTGAGCTTGTCTCGTTGGTTCATTAACATTATGATGGAGAAATGGCTCTCTATGTACTGGTATATAAATATGTGTATTAGTATGTATAGAGTGGTCCAGAAGTTGTACCCTACTTAGCAATGCCAGAATTTACTGTTTGTTTGGCTAATTCTGTTTCCTGTGGAATTAATTTTTGTTGTGTTAGGGTCTCAATCAGAAGAAGGTGGCAACAGGATTTCATCCAAGAGATCTAAAAGAACCACCATCTGCTCACTGGACTGTTGGACGTGTCCTTGATAGATAAGAGAAGAAGGAAGTGTATAGGACAGAGAGAGAGAGAGAGAGAGAGAGATTAAGCACATGTAAGGAGAATGAAGCGAAACACCCAAAGTAATAGTGAGTATAGAACGATCAAGTAGGAAAGTTGTGCTGGAACTGAGCATTTAACATTACAGTTGTCTTAGAATACGTAATATGAACACGCTCCAATCAGTGGAGGATGAGCACGGATTTGATTATGACACAAGATATAAATTATGGGAATGGTTTAAAATATAATAACACTTGCCCAAAACCTACCTGAGTTCAGTCCTTTTTCTGAAGTGATGAAGCTTCGTTCTACCTAAGGGTCAGGTTAATAGACATAACAGTATGTATTGGATAGATGAAAATCCTTATCTTGTAACCGAAGGAACTGAAGGACATTTGTAAACGAATCCTAAACAACTATTTGTGGCAGTATTCACGATTCCAAACTAATTGACCCAGTATTCCCCGATGGCAAGATAACTGGACACTTTTATTTGGTTCTGCTACAGGACACAATCACTCCCTGCTTTGTTGAACCGAATGAAAATGTGTTTCCAGGAAAATCTTGAGCCACCACATTTCGCTACGCATTCTATGTTATGAATGATTGAACGAGAACATGCCTGATAGGTGGATGGGCAGGAGTCCAACTGAATGATCCCACTCGACTTCTTTTTGTTGGGTCAAAAGTGAAGGTAGGAAGGCCATGCGGGGGGGACAGAAATTGGGATGGGTGAAAGACACTAAAAGATGTGGATTCCAGAGAGATGCAGAATCTAGGAGGATTGGTAAAGACTGTCCGAAAATATTTAGAGAGGAGGACCGTGGTTGCTAGCCTTCAGACATGAGGATGACACTACAGTATGACTGACTTCAAGAACAGTGTGTGCGTAAGTTGTCAAATAACATTCCTGTTTGTGACATTACCAAAGACAATATCGTATATGTGTATAACTGTTTACTTAATGGCATTCACTGGGCCGCAAAATGCAAGGATTCTCGTCTGAGAACTTTCTTTAATTACCCATTGTCGTTTATTCATTAATCGAGTGATATTTTATTTTCATTTGTAACTAAAAGTGACGAAAATAATCTTACACACATAAATTATTTTTATTAATAGAAAGATCGTTTTACTTTATTCAATGGACCAGGATTTTAGGACCACCCATGGCAATCCATTACCTAAATTCCGGCTGTTTTGGGGGAGAAGGAAATAAATAGGCCAGTCCACATAGACTGTGGATATAGTGCAGAGAGAGAAGATGGGGGGGAAAGGAACCCTTGTCGTCATGGTACCAGAAGATGAAGGCAGGAGGCTCTGGCATGCTAACACTGCAGGTCAGAGCTAAGCGACTGCCAGTGTTGATGTACACGTCTGGTCCTCCCACGATCACTGTCTCTGTCTCAGGGAAAAGAAATGGAGAATAGAATATGAAGGAGAAGAAATAGTGGAACCGAATAGGGCAAGTGATTTAGAAGGGGACACAGGGCGGAGAATGAGGTTAGAAAGGGAGTTATTAGTTCGTGCCTTGTTAAATATCTTTATATCTCCCTGTCTCTACCTGTATAGTTAGTATACAATTTATTATATTTCTGTAAGTGGTATGGAATATCTGTTTCATTTTATATTTGACCGCCACATATATACACACACACACACACACACACACACACACACACACACACACACACACACACACACACACACACACACACACACACACACACACACACACACACACACACACACACACACACACACACACACACACACACACACACACACACACACACACACACACACACACACACACACACACACACACACACACACACACACACACACACACACACACACACACACACACACACACACACACACACACACACACACACACACACACACACACACACACACACACACACACACACACACACACACACACACACACACACACACACACACACACACACACACACACACACACACACACACCACACACACACACACACACACACACACACACACACACACACACACACACACACACACACACACACACACACACACACACACACACACACACACACACACACACACACACACACACACACACGCACACACACACACACACACACACACACACACACACACACACACACACACACACACACACACACACACACACACACACACACACACACACACACACACACACACACACACACACACACACACACACATTTGCAGTATACATAAAACTCGGCACCTTTCATCCTCATTTATGCCCTAATCTCTTAACTGTATACAAAGAAGTAATTAATTTTATTGTACTCTCAAATGACCAGCTAATTAATCCCGTTAATTAATTATTCATCAGTTCAGCCGCTGATCTCATGAAGCCTTTACTGAATAATATATAATTCATACACTATTCACTAGAGCGGCTACTGATCAAACATACACATTGTGTCTGAATACTTAAATTAGTAGCCGGGAGGATCATATAATTAATACAAATAAACGTTAAACTCTTATTGAAAGTTAATATAACCAATGGATCACCACATGTTCTCCCCTACACACACACACACACACGTCACAGGCAGAGGTCAAAGGGTAGTACTCTCTCTCTCTCTCTCTCTCTCTCTCTCTCTCCTCTCCCCCCCCCCCCCCCTCTCCTTACCTACAACAGACAGGTGTATATGGTGACTCTGTGGAGGTGTAGTGGAGATCTGACACTCGTACATGCCAGCGTCTCTCTCCTGCAGGTAGTGGATCATCAACAGCCAGTCCTCAGACCCCGCTGTGTGCCGGGCTGAGAAACGCTCGTCTGACGTGTAGGTGAACCTGCCCACCGTCAGTAGGTGTATGTCGCGGTGACGGATCCATGATACCTGAAGGAGAGAGGGACAGAGAGAGTTAAAGGGAGTCAGAGAGAGAGGGAGACAGAGATAGTTAGAGAGAGAGGCTCAGGTTACAGATCCATAACCCTGTGAGAGTGAAAGAGAGTTAGAGAGAGAGATACAGTTAAAGAGAGAGAGAGAATGTCAAGGCGTCATATAACACCTGTGAGAAAGTTAGACAGGTTAGGGAATGAAAAAAGTTAGAGAGACGTACGTGGTGTGTGTGTGGCGAATGATAATCTTTCTCGGTTTATCCATAAGATTTTGAAGGAGATAGATAGATAGATAGATAGATAGATAGATAGATAGATAGATAAATAGATAGATAGACTGAAAATTGCCTTTTAAGCCATAGGAAAGTTGGAATAAAAGAAATCGGGAAAACTCTCACTTGGAAAAGACGTGATTAAATTTGCGGTTTGATGACAATTACGTCTGGAGATAGAGAGGCAGAGATAGAGAGAGAGAGAGCGAGAGATATAAGAGAGATCACGTTTTAATTTGGGTTTTTGGAGGAAACACTTGTAATATTTAATACAAGAAAATGAATGATGAAAAGAAGTCAATAAATACCGAATATAATAAATTAATAACAAAGCGATAATAATAATAATAATAATAATAATAATAATAATAATAATAATAATAATAATAATAATAATAATAATAATAATAATAATAATAATAATAATAATAATAATAATAATAATAAAAAATAAAATACAATAATAATAATAATAATAATAAAAAAAAAAAAAAAAAAAAAATAATAATAATAATAATAATAATAATAATAATAATAATAATAATAATAATAATAATAATAATAATAATAATAATAATAATAATAATAATAATAATAATAATAATAATAATAATAATAATAATAATAATAATAATAATAATAATAATAATAATAATAATAATAATAATAATAATAATAATAATAATAATAATAATAATAATAATAATAATAATAATAATAATAATATTAATAATAATAATAATAATAATAATAATAATAATAATAATAATAATAATAATAATAATAATAATATAATAATAATAATAACAATAATAATAATAATAACAATAATAATAATAATAATAATAATAATAATAATAATAATAATAATAATAATAATAATAATAATAATAATAATAATAATAATAATAATAATAATAATAATAATAATAATAGTAATAATAATAACAATAATTAAATAATAATAATTAATAAATAATAATAATAATAATAATAATAATAATAATAATAATAATAATAATAATAATAATAATAGCACATGAACAACAATAATTAACAATAATAACAATAATAATAATAATAATAATAACAATAAATAATTAACAATAATAATAATAATAATAATAATAATAATAATAATAATAATAATAATAATAATAATAATAATAATAATAATAATAATAATAATAATAATAATAATAATAATAATAATAATAATAATAAAAGAATTATTTTAGTCAGGCTTCAAAGATAAATATTAAAGAGAGAACCAATCTTAAACTAAAGACTAGTATGGCCTCGGAGACACAGAATGAGGATAGAGAGAAGAGGTGATAAAGATGATATCAAGAAAAAGACAAGAGGATAGAGTTGGATTAAGTTATAAAATATGGGTCGCGATAACTGGCAGTAAAACTCTGGCCGTCGAAATCTCAAAAAAGGTTCGTAAGTTCAATTTTTCTCTTAACTGCAGATGTAAGAACTGCTTTTATCCGAAGGCAAATATGGATTCTCTTCGATTCTTACGGTAAATTTCTCCCCCATAATTGGATAGAAAGAAATGTATTTAAATGATTTACTAATATTACGACACAAAGATTGATTCGGTCAGAGATTCCCAAGTATTCTTTTTTTCACGTCGATGAATGGATAGAAGGGGAGAGGATGAAAGAATGCTTATCTAGTAAACTAAATTAGTCCTTATGTACTTTCGACGCCATTTGTCCAGTTTATATGTATCGTAAATTAAATTGAACCGGTAAGATGCATTGTCTTATCTCCACGTAAGGGAAAAAAATCAACGTACAAACTTCTGAGAATCCATCCATCTTTGTGTCGTAGCCTTAAGTGAGTCATTTAGAGGCGTTCTCATCTCTCAGGTTACGAGGAAATCTAATCTACGATGCCTTGGGAATCCGAGCTTTAGTCAGGGCAACATTTTCCTGGATATGAAGAAAGTTTTAGGAGTTTCAAGCAAAAAGATTTAAATGCTCAGTCGCCATAACCTTACTGGGCCCTATGTAACTTACGTTAATTCCTTTATTTTTTATTTTATTGACAAACAGACATTTGTTGTATTATTCTTTATTTTTCTATACATTTGATTATATCTCTGTATATTTACACACATTCATACAAACCAGAATACACTTACTCCTTCCCATTCGACAGTTTTTATAGTTCGAGGAATCCGCTCTCCCCCTCACCGGATCAAAACATACTTGACAAGAACGCCACGATGTCAACAATGACCCAGTAAGTAAACATTGACTAACTGTGAGGGAGCATCACTCTTGAGACGATGGTAAATACGAGTCACTGTCTCCCTGGTTCAATTTGTCACTTGTCTAGAGATTGGTGCCAGGGTTAAGTTTCTCTCTCTCTCTCTCTCTCTCTCTCTCTCTCTCCACTTTATTCTTTTTCTTTATCTCTCTTTTCCTTCCTATTTCTGTTTCCATTCATTTCCTCACTGTTTCTCCTTTTTTCCTTTCCCATTCCTCTTCTCTCACTCTACCTCCCCTTCCTCTCTTTATATTTAACTTTCCTTTTATTCTTTGTTTTTTCTTTCCATCCCTTGCTCTCTTTCCCATTTCTCTCTGTATCTCCCCTAACCCAAGCTCCTTTAATATTAGAAGTCACGTAAACTACACACTCTCTCCTCAAGATCTCCTTATTCTCTCTTTCCCACATCCTCTACATCAATCTCTCCCTCTCCCCCTCCCCCCTTCAATACCAAGTCATCATCACTGGGGTTCCTCATAATCTCCCTGGGACGTAAAAGCGACGACGCTCCTGAAATGTGAACACTGGGCTCAAGTTTCTCCTTTATGGTGATATGTTTTACTTATGCCGTCACTAGCGAGAGAGAGAGAGAGAGAGAGAGAGAGAGAGAGAGAGAGAGAGAGAGAGAGGTGTCACAAAAATAAAATAATCATCCCAACTAAATATGTATTTCTGGACATCCACCAAATTACCTTAACAGAAAACTGGGGCCTGTTAATACTGGGGTTTGTTAAATCTGGGGCCTGTTAGAACTGGGGCCTAAGTGACCTAACACACCTAACTTTACTTAGCCTAACTTAACCCACCCTAAGCTAACTTAAATATTCCTAAATAAACCTTACTTAACCTAACATTACAATTCGTGGTTTAATTGAAACTAATGAAGTCTATCGGAAACTAACATAAGCTAAGTTATCCCTTCACCTAACTCAAAATTACCTGACTCGAACCTAACCTATGTTAAAATAAACTAATCAAACCAGAAATAAAAAAAAGTTAACCTAATCTAACCTAACCTAACTTAAAATAACCTAACTTTAATCGAACTTAACCTAATGATAATCTAATGTACCTAACCCAATCTAACTTGAAATAAATAAGCCAAACCTGACCTTAACCTACTTGACGTGACCTGACCTTGACCTGACCTTACCTGAGCTGACCCAACACTCGGGGATCGACCACCTTGGTATATATATATTACAGTGCTTACGCAGAACTGAGCAGGACGTCATTCATACGTTATTCATGACAGCGGGAATTACAGGATGAACACGGGTCTGGGAACACTGTCATATTGTGTATTATTCAGTTACAATTGACACTTGGCGTATGCTCAGTCAACATTAGTGGACGGGCGGGTGGGTGGATGGATGGGCGGGTGAGTGTGTGGGTAGGTGGATGAGCTGGTTGGGTGGGTGAGTGTGTGTGAGTGAGTGGTGTGTGGGTGAGCGGGTGGGTGGATGAGGTGTGGGTGAGCGGGTGGGTGGATGAGGTGTGGGTGAGTGAGTAGATTGGTGAATGCGGTGGGTGGTGGATGAGTTAGAGTGTAAATTATCTCACCGTGTCTGACTCTCTTTTCATACTCTCTCTTTCTCGTTCGCTTTATCTTTTCTCCCTGTTTCTTTCTTCAGTCCTTTAGTCTCTTTCTCCAGCTTTCCTTACATCTTCTCTTTATCTCTATCATACATACATTCCCTCCCTTACTCTCTCACTGTCTCTCATTCTCTCTGTCATTGTCTCTCACTCTTTCTCTCACTCTCACTAGCACCTCGCGTGAGTATCATTCACAATGACTCACAATGAACCTTCACATTACCTTCTTAAAGCAGTGATCAGCCCTCCTTCCCTCCCTCCCTCCCTCCTTCTTCCTTCAGTCTCTCACTCCTTCAGTCTCCCTCCCTCCTTCCTTCCTCTCTCTTCCTTCAGTCTCTCACTCCCTCAAGAGTCTTTTCCTCCTTCAGTCTCTCCTTACCTCCCCCCTCCTTACCTCTCTCCTTACCCCCTTTTCCATCCCTCCTTTCTCCCTTCCTTTTTCCTACTTCATTCACTCAATCCTTCCATCTTTCCTTCCCTCCCACTTCCCTCCCCCTCCTTGCCTTTCTTCCCCTTCTCCCTCCCTCTTCCTTCTCTCATTCCCTTGATTCATCATCATCAACGTCATCATCATCATCATCATCATCATCAACAACAACCACCTATACTGTGACGCAAAAAAAATCTATTATTCACAGTTTCATGAGAGAGAGACGCCCCGACGTACCTCATTTGTTTTATATATCATCCAATGACGTCTTCAGAAACTCCTTGACGATCATTAGTTACTGCCATTCACCAGCATTATTCATCATTCATTGTACAGGGTGGCGCAGAATGCATCTCTTGCCATTGTCATCAGCTGTCACGCACACGCACGCATATAATGTACACACTGGCAGGAACGCACACAGGCATACACACACACACACACACACACAGTACATACGGTCTTTATTAATCTTCTGTGTATGTTTCTCTCTCCCTCTCTCTGTCTCTTTCTCTTTATCTCTTTTATCTCTTTCTCTCTATCTCTCATTGTATTTATGTGTGTAATTATCTCTATCTTTTTGTATATCTATATTGAGTTATCTCTCTTTTCTTCTGTCTCCCTTTATCTCCCACTCTACCTTTTTAAGTAATTATCTCCCTCTCTTTATAGCTTCTTACGTATTATCGAGTTATCGATTTCTTCATGTGCTCCCATTTTTCTCTAGGTGTATATTGAACGAAATATCTCTATCTCGATTTCTCTCTTTTTATCTCTCCTCTCCTCTCACTCTCCTTCGCTCTTTCTATCTCTCTCTCTTTCTCCCGTGCTCGCTCGCTCTCTCTATTTCTCTCTTTCTCTCTCCCGTGCTCGCTTGCTCTCTCTATCTCTCTCTTTCTCCCCACGAACATTTGGTCTCTCCTAAATCACCAGCAGCGAGACAGACAAAGATGGGTGTGGTCGATACACGGATGATGAAGGAGGGGAACAATAGACGATGATAGCTGAGAGAGGGAGGGAGAAAAGAGAGAGAGAGAGAGAGAGAGAGAGAGAGAGAGATTGTCTGGCTATTATTTATAACTGTGAATTGCATGACACTTATTTCTTTCTTTTTTATTTATTTACTCTCTCTCTCTCTCTCTCTCTCTCTCTCACTATCCTCCTGTGTCTTTCTTTCTCCCCAACTCTTTTTTTCTCTCTCTCTTTCTCCCCCCATCTTTCTCTTCTCTCCGCCAACCTCTCTCATTTACTCCAGGTGCCATAAGTCCAAGGCTTACAGGGTGTTGCAAGGCTTTTAGTTAATCTCGCTCTTCCAAGGTGTGTGTAAACTTGTGACGTATAGGGTGGTGCAAATTAAATCTTCGTTTTTGCTTGCACACAACAACGGGGCTTGATGACGAAGAGTTTGCAGAGATGGTTTGTGTTTATATATATATTCACACACACACACACACACACACACACACACACACACACACACACACACACATATATAAATAGTATATATATAGAATAGATAAATAGGGTGTATATTAGTTTATTCAGATTAAATTAAATAAGTATGATTATGTTTACAGAGAGAGAGAGAGAGAGAGAGAGAGAGAGAGAGAGAGAGAGAGAGACTTATTGATTACCGTGTGTGGCTCTTTACTTAAAACCAATGAGCACTTTAACACACTGTTAAAATAATCTAACTTTCTTATAGGCAATTTCATAACTCAGAAGCCAGTAGCCAAACACACACACACACACACACACACACACACACACACACACACACACACACACACACACACCCCTACAAGTTACAAAGCTTTACAGGAAGTTTAACAATATGGTATAGAGTTTCCAGCAGTTAAATCATTCCCCTTTTTTGTGTTTTAAGGACCATCGTTTGGCAAGTATGGTCTCATTGGTCTGAGTGGGAGCCTTACTTAAGTTTATATTTGGTCTTCTTGGTCTTGTTTTGATTGGTAAGGTCATGGTACTGGTCTTGGCTATCTTGGTGGACCCATAATACTATATTTGGTCTTGTTGGTCTTGTTTTGATTGGTAAGGTCATGGTACTGGTCTTGGCTATCTTGGTGGACCCATAAGACTATATTTGGTCTTGTTGGTCTTGTTTTGATTTGTAATGTCATGGTACTGGTCTTGGCTATCTTGGTGGACCCATAAGACTATATTTGGTCTTGTTGGTCTTGTTTTTGCTCGTGTAAGGCCATGGTACTGGTCTTGCTATCTTGGTGGACCCATATGACTATATTTGGTCTTGTTGGTCTTGGTTTTAATTGATAAGGTCATGGTACTCGGTTCACATTCTAGGACCCATAAGACTATATTTGGTCTTATATTCTATTTTGATTGGTAAGGTCATGGTACTGGTCTTTATTATCTTGGTGGAATCTTACAAGACTATATTTAGTCTGGTTGGTCTTATTTTGATTGGTAAGGTCATGGTACTGGTCTTGGCTATCTTGGTGGACCCATAAGACTATATTTGGTCTTGTTGGTCTTGTTTTGATTGTAAGGTCATGGTACTGGTCTTATTATGGACCCATAAGACTATATTTGGTCTTGTTGGTCTTGTTTTGATTGGTAAGGTCATGGTACTGGTCTTGGCTATCTTGGTGGACCCATAATACTATATTTGGTCTTGTTGGTCTTGTTTTGATTTGTAATGTCATGGTACTGGTCTTGGCTATCTTGGTGGACCCATAAGACTATATTTGGTCTTGTTGGTCTTGTTTTGATTGGTAAGGTCATGGTACTGGTCTTGGCTATCTTGGTGGACCCATAAGACTATATTTGGTCTTGTTGGTCTTGTTTTGATTGGTAAGGTCATGGTACTGGTCTTGGCTATCTTGGTGGACCCATAAGACTATATTTGGTCTTGTTGGTCTTGTTTTGATTGGTAAGGTCATGGTACTGGTCTTGGCTATCTTGGTGGACCCATAAGACTATATTTGGTCTTGTTGGTCTTGTTTTGATTGGTAAGGTCATGGTACTGGTCTTGGCTATCTTGGTGGACCCATAATACTATATTTGGTCTTGTTGGTCTTGTTTTGATTTGTAATGTCATGGTACTGGTCTTGGCTATCTTGGTGGACCCATAAGACTATATTTGGTCTTGTTGGTCTTGTTTTGATTGGTAAGGTCATGGTACTGGTCTTGGCTATCTTGGTGGACCCATAAGACTATATTTGGTCTTGTTGGTCTTGTTTATATTGGTAAGGTCATGGTACTGGTCTTGGCTATCTTGGTGGACCCATAAGACTATATTTGGTCTTCTTGGTCTTGTTTTGATTGGTAAGGTCATGGTACTGGTCTTGGCTATCTTGGTGGACCCATAAGTCTATATTTGGTCTTGTTGGTCTTGTTTATATTGGTAAGGTAACACTACTGGTCTGACCTCCTCACAAACATCTTTTTATATCCCTACAAAATGGCCATCAACGTCAGAGGAAAACATTGAACCAGTTATCTGTATTTTACACTTCATTCATCACTCCAAGTGTTCAATGTATCTTAACTCTCCTCCACACACCGGTTGTAAATTCTTGTTCATTTCAGGTCGTATTTAGTCGTTAAGTATTCAAGTTAATTATTATGTGACAACTTCCCATGACTTTGTTTAGGAGTTTAAATAATGATGATACTGTCTCTCTCTCTCTCTCTCTCTCTCTCTCTCACACACATTCGTTCTTGTCTCAGTGCTCTTCTTTATCTCTTCATGTCTCTCTCACTTACTCGTTCTTGTCTCTTGTCTCTCAGTTTTCTTCTTTTTCTCCTCATATGTGTTTTCTTACTGGAGGGAACTGTGTATAGAGAGAAGTGAACGCTTACATTCGTGTAACAAGACGGATATAAATTTCTCTTAATTAAGAGTTACTGAATATTGATACACTCAGAAACTACCCGTATGTCTGTGTTTAATTATTATATTGATCCAAACACTGGCTAAATTTGCAGTAGGTCACACTGTCAGCCACATTAAATGTCAGCCGGACTTATGTAGACTGCCAGTCAGACAAATGAAGCCTTAAATAAGCCACGTAAGATGTCAGAGCGGCTGTCGACAACTACATCTCATGTATATTACAATACTCATACACGCGGTACTGACAGTTACAGATGTTGTATTGCTCGAAACAGGTGCAGTGCCATCCCCAAGTTCTCCGGACACTTGAATTATCTGGCACCTGCCTGCGAGTGGTTTAGAGCTCGTGAACGCTGCTTTTCATTAGGATTCACGTTAGAGTAAAAAAAAAAAAAAAATCCGCACTATAATAAAAAAATAAGTAAATAGATGTTAAAGCCATTATTCACATTACCTAAACAACACTCATTTAAATGGTGCCAGATATTGACTAAAGTGTCCAAGGAGTTTTGTCCGTGACTGTACCGGAGTATGATATGTAAATGATATTACATTACTTATAGCTGTCGGTCATGCATGAATAATATATGTACATTTTATAGTTTATTCCCTTCTAAACTGTTGAATATACATACTTTTGCTCTTTCATAGGTGTGTAGTGCAGGTGTAAGCCAGGGCTGTGAGGGGCTGTTGGAGGGCTGCGGAGTATGGGCTGAGGGCTGTGGGGTATGAGCTGAGGGCTAAGGGTTAAGGGCTGTGAGGGGAGGACTGCAGGGTATGGGGCTGAGGGCTGTGAGGGGAGGACTGCAGGGTATGGGGCTGAGGGCTGTGGACCAGTTTATACTATTACTGTAATCTCATTATTTCGTTTTAGTGAAATTGATATTGTCTCTTGTTTTAAAGTTGTACCATATTAATTATATTATTACTGTGCTGTGTTGTGTTATTACTGTGTGGTGTTATCACTGTGTTGTGTTAAGTGTGTGTTGTGTTGGCACTGTGTTGTGTTAAGTGTGTGTTGTGTTGGCACTGTGTTGTGTTAAGTGTGTGTTGTGTTGGCACTGTGTTGTGTTAAGTGTGTGTTGTGTTGGCACTGTGTTGTGTTAAGTGTGTGTTGTGTTGGCACTGTGTTGTGTTATTACTGTGTCGTGTTAAGTTTGTGTTGTGTTAAGTGTGTGTTGTGTTGGCACTGTGTCGTGTTAAGTCTGTGTTGTGTTATTACCGTGTCGTGTTAAGTCTGTGTTGTGTTATTACCGTGTCGTGTTAAGTCTGTGTTGTGTTATTACCGTGTCGTGTTAAGTCTTTGTTGTATACGGAGTGTATTGTGTTAGAAATGAGGGCATGATTCGCAACACATATTTACATAATTATATCACTCAGGATAATATGAAAATTTTGTCTAGTGGGATTTAACTACTTCTTTCTTATGTCTTTTTACTCATCAGTGTCTTCATCTTCCTTCAGTGTTTTTTTTATCATATTATTATTACTTGTTGTTGTAGGTGATAATCCAAATCCCCGTATGATGAGAGACTCTTGGATCCTGAGATAACAGTGTCTGGGAGATCCTGGGAAAAAAAAATCCGGGCTTTAAACTCACTGAAACTACCGGAGACTCAAAAGCATCGAAGTAAATTATCTCAATGACTCTGTATAGCAATTCAGAGGAGGTATTTTTTTGGTTATACTCTGGTCTTGGCATCCCTCGTATACAACAAGACACTCGCTACACCCCCAGCCACTACACCTTCTAGTACTACCCTTACACCTCCCGCCCCCCCATACCTCACCTCCTCTACCTCTAGGTCCCCGCATGTACTGACACAGGACGAAGGAACGAACCAGCAACCACATAATTAGATTTTGCATTTGACAATTAGATAGATTAGCTGAGAACTTCATACTCCAATTTAATTATCTTTTGAGAGAAAAAATTAAATAGTTTAAATAGAAATTCCAATTTAATTCTTCCGTGAAATGAGATGAAAATTAATTTCAAGTGTGGTAGAGGAAGTGTGTTGATACTGAGGATAATGGCTCTCTCTCTCTCTCTCTCTCTCTCTCTCTCTCTCTCTCTCTCTCTCTCTCTCTCATTTTGTTTATTCTTTCTCGATCTCTCATTTTCTTACTTTCTCTCATTTAATCAATCTCTTCGTCTGTCTCTCTGTCTCTAATTCACATATTTTCTCTTAATCAATCCTTCTCTTCCTGACGTTGTATCTCACACTTTCGCTCTATTTTTCTCTTACTGTTTCTCTTTCTCTCTTTAATTATCTAGTTTACTTTCAAATTACTCTTCTCTTCTGCTCTATCTGACTCTCTCACTTTAACCATCTATCTATCTATCTATCTATCTATCTATCTATCTATCTATCTATCTATCTATCTATCTATCTATCTATCTACCTACCTACCTACCTATCTCTCTCTCTCTCTCTCTCTCTCTCTCTCTCTCTCTCTCTCTCTCTCTCTCCTACAGACACTGATTCCCCTCTCTCTCCCCCAATGTTTAATGCTCTCAAGCACTCAGATATCCTTCCCTTTCCCAGGTGCTCAATATTGGTTCAGAACACCTTTTGGTCATTATGGATTCAGGTACACTTTCGATCATGTGATTGTGTGTGTGTGTGTGTGTGTGTGTGTGTGTGTGTGTGTGTGTGTGTGTGTGTGGTATACTTGTACTTTCATGGAACAAATTAAAGACAAATTCTGAGACACTCTGTAAGATGCTTTGGTTAAGATGATGTTTAGAGAGGTCAATACAATAATTTAAATAGAGACGAAAGACATTACAAGAGGAATAGAAATGTACGTAGATAAACAAAGAAAGATAGAAAAAGAAAGATAGAGATAAAGAGGAAAATAGTAAACAAAACAAGAGAGATACATAAGAGATCAAATAGGAACATCTTATTCCTATTCGATTTTGTACTAGGAAAAGGAAAATAGATTGAAATAGGAACACCAATTTAATTCTTCCTTGGGAATTTAGCAGTGAGAAATATTTTCCTGGTGTGGTGAAGGAAATGTGTTTTTGTCTCCTGTTCTATAATTTCCCAGACGACCAAGAGATCATTGTTTTTCTCTCTCATTCTCTCTCTCTCTCTCTCTCTCTCTCTCTCTCTCTCTCTCTCTCTCTCTCTCTCTCTCTCTCTCTCTCTCTCTCTCTCTCTCTCTCTCTCTCTCTCTCTCTCTCTCCTTTCTTTCTCCTCTCTCTCTCTCTTCTATCTGTTTTCATTATACCTCTCTCTCTCTTTTCTGTCTCTCTTTTCACTTTATCTCTCTCCATCTCTTTGTTTATCTCTCTTTTTATTCAGTTTGTCTCTCTTTTCTGTTTCTCTCTTCTCTCTATTTGTCTCTCCGTTTATTTCTGTTTCTCGTCCTCTTTCTGTCTGTCTTTGTCATTATTCCATTTTATTTTTCATTTTTTTCTCTCTCTCTCTCTCTCTCTCTCTCACTCTCTCTCTCTCTCTCTCTCTCTCTCTCTCTCTCTCTCTCTCTCTCTCTCTCTCTCTCTCCTACCATCGTACTATAGTTATTCATTTACTTACCTCTTCTCTCTCTCGCTTTCATTGCTTGCTCCCAGGCATGAATTCCCCCTCTCCAGCCCTCAGTACTTAATGCTTCCAAGCACACCGTCATCTCTCCTGGCCCTAGTGTTCAATATTTGATCATAAACACCTTGTGACCACCACCAGGTACTATGACTGGCCAATTAACGAGAGAAGGGACCATGGTAGCGAATTTAAAGCGACTAAGCGTGTTTTGGTTTAGCTCCTCTCTGGTTGGTTAACAGATAGGAGAGTGCATTGCAATTGGTTTAGGCAGGAACCTATATACTATTCTAGATCTCTTATTGGCCAACAGGTAGGAGAGGGGCATTGCAATTGCTTAAGGCAGGAACTCTATACCATTCTAGGTCTCTGATTGGCCAACAGATAGGAGAGTGGCATTGCAATTGGTTTAGGCAGGAACCTATATACCATTCTAGGTGTCTGATTGGCCAACAAGTAGGAGAGAGGACCATTAGCATTGGTTAAAGTAGTAACCCCATACTATTCTAGATCTGTTATTGGTTACCAGAAGTGGAGGACACTATGCTAACTAAATTAAAGTAAACAAGAGCATCGTGATACCCAACCTCTCTCTCTCTCTCTCTCTCTCTCTCTCTCTCTCTCTCTCTCTCTCTCTCTCTCTCTCTCTCTCTCTTTCTTTTAGTCTCGTTCACACTCACACTCTCCTCTGTCATTCCCTCTCTAATTTCCTTTCAGTTTCTTTCTCGCCTTCTCTTTAATTTACTCTCACCCGTCTCTCTCCATCTTTGTGTATCCATCACTCTATCCTCCTCACTATTCATCTCTCACGCTTCATCATTCTCTTTGTCTTTCTCCTTTTCTCTCTCACTCTCCCTTGCTAATCTTTTCTCATTTCGTCTCCCTCCTCCTCCACGTTCGTGATATTTTTAAACATAAGATAAAAATCGACTTTAATCTTCCTTGTATTAAGTATGAAGTAACATATCATAAAATTCCTGAGCAGAGTAATTGTTTCTCGGAAGAGTTGAGGTAAAAATTAATTATTCACCTGTACCTTTACACAACGGAATTTTCACGGGTATTTATTTTATTTTATTTTATTATTTATTTAATTCACCTGTGAGAGAGTTTAATATATACAGTAGATAGATTGATAAGAAAGATAGATAATTTAACACACACACACACACACACACACACAAACACACACACTTACCGTCCTATTGCCAATGTTCTTAACCCTGCAGTTGAGGATGGCCGTCTTGCCCAGGAGAGCTGTCACGTTCGACGACTCCTCCACGTCGAAGAAGGGCTGGTCAGGGTCGTACTGCTGACCGTCTGTGAATAGTAGGTCCTCTGTGGTCAGGTCCCCCTCCTGCTGGACCAGATCTGTGGGAGGGAGAGAGAGGGAGACACTGTGAGAGAGACTGTAAGACTTATGTGACCTGTGTGAGAGAGACTGACAAAAAGAGAGGGACTGAGAGAGGAACTGAGAGAACTGTGAAAGAGGCTGTGAGAGAGAGACCTGCTTGACCTGTGTGAGAGAGGCTGAGAGAGAGAGGGGGACTGAGAGAACTGTGAGATAGGAACTGAGAGATGCATGATAGAGGCTGTGTGTACGAGAGAGACAGGGCTGTGTGGGAAAGATAGAGGCTATGGGAGAAGGACGGAGAAAGCTGTGTGTGTGTGTGTGTGTGTGTGAGAGAGAGAGAGAGAGAGAGAGAGAGAGAGAACTACAGGTTGAGAAAATGAAATTAAAGTTGAAGGAAGGAAGTGAGATGTACCAAGCGGGATGAATAATTGTAAGTGGAATAATGAGTGATAAAAGACGGAGTGGTGAGAAGAGGGAGACTGGGAGGGAGTGTGGAGGAGAGGGAGAGAGAAAGTGAGTGATAAAAGGGAGAATTGGAGGGAGAGTGGAGGAAGCGTGAAGGAGAGAGGATGAGAGGGTTTGGAGGAGAGGGAAGGAAAGAGGGAGAGGGAGTGATAAATGTGTCTGAGAGGGAGAGTGGGGGGCAGAGAATAAGGGAGTGTGAAGGAGACTGGAAGAAGGATGGAAGTAATGGAAAGGAGAAGGAAACAGGGAATGTGGAAGAGAGAGAGAGAGAGAGAGAGAGAGAGAGAGAGAGAGAGAGAGAGAGAGAGAGAGTTTTGTAAAGGTCCAACAAGGTAAATGAATTTAACTGCTCTACAGAGAACCTGGATATGTATTTTTTTTCTTTCATTCTATCTCTTTATCTCTCATTCTCTGTCTCTCTTTGTCTTTCTTTCACTCTTTTCTCTTTCTCTCTCTACTTTTTCGTTTTCTTCCATCTCCTTTGCCATCTCCCTGTCTCTGTATGTCTTTCTCTCACTATTTATTCCTCTCAGTGATTCTCTCTCTCTCTCTCTCTCTCTCTCTCTCTCTCTCTCTCTCTCTCTCTCTCTCTCTCTCTCATAAAGTACATCAGTGACACAGGAATATCAGGTCAGAGGTCACCATAAGAATCAAATTGCCTGGTAACCCCTGATGACTTTAGGGACTTAAGTCAGAGTTTACGGTCTGATTCACGTAGTTTAAATGACCTATGATAGTCTTAAGGAAACCAGATCAGAGGTCAAGGTCATAATCAAGTGTTTTAAGTGATCCATGATAGTTCTAGGTCATTGGGTCAAAGGTTAGAGCTAAGTTGTGAGTCATCTTCGTTTTAGTGGTATTTAGTATCAGAGGTCAGAGTTGAGATGTGAAAGTTGTCTAGGGTGAGTATTGCATGTTTCCACCCTATTCTCCCTTGACCCCCTTACATATCAGGGTGAAGGGAGTGAGGGAGGGAGAGAGAGTAGGGTGAGCAGTGTACCTCTCCCCTCCTCACCTCGCTGACACACTGACACTGTCACTCCGCCCTGGTTGACATGACAGAGGATTTTTGTTGACAGATCTTAATCGGCAGCTGCTGGTAGGGTGCCGAGAGGGGAGAGGTGTGAGAGGGAAGGGGAGGGGAGAAGTGTGAGAGGGAATGAGAGGGGAGAGGAGAGGGGTAAGAGGGGAGAGCGATGAGAGGGAAAGGAGGAATAAGAAGGGAGGGGAGGAGTAAGAGGGAAGAGGGAGAGGAGGAGTAAAAGGAGAGAGGAGTAAGATGGAAAGGAGGAATGACAGGGTAACAAGGAAAGGAAAAAGGGAGAGGAATGGGAGGGAAGAAAAGAGGAGGGAGGGGATGAATGGGAGAGGGAAGAGACAAAGGGAGAGGAATAAGAGGAAAGTAAAAAAAGGGAGAGGAATGAGAGGGAAGAAAGGAAGGGAGAACAGAGAGATGGAAGAGAGACCCTACAATGCCACCCACAAGAAAGGTACGCCTGGTTAACGTTCGCTCGCCCATTGCCTTAACTGGCATTATTTTATTGTACGTAATAAAATAAGAGAAACGATTTCGCCTGGTAGGATTTGCGCCTGGCATTTATTCGCCGATTCTTCGTCAACACTGGCGAAAGGTTTTTGAAGGTAGGAGACTAAATTCTCTCTCCTTTTCTTTCTAATTTTTTTTCTCTTTCATAAGGACATAATTTTATACTCTCTTTATCTCTCACTTTCTCTCCCTCTTTTTCTCTTGACTAGACTCTCTCCGTGTCTCTCTGTCTGTCTGTCTGTCTCTCTGTCTCTCTGTCTGTCTGTCTGTCTCCCATTTCATCTGTATTTGTATGTTTGTTTCTCTCTCCCGAATTATTTTTCTCCTTTTCTCTCTGTCAAGCTCTCCGTCCTAATTTGCTCTCCCCCACTCTCTTTCACTCTCCCTCCCTCTCCTTTACTCTCCCTCCCTCCCTCTCATTCCCTCTTTCCCTCTTATTCCACTTCCTTCCCTCTCCCACCCTCTCCTTCCCTCTCCCTTCCTCCCATTCCCTCTCCTTCACTATCCCTCCTTATCATCCCCTCTCCTCCACCCTCCCTCCCACTCATTCCCTCTCATTCACTCTCCCCCCTCTAATTCCCTCCCACTCATTCCCTCTCATTCACTCTCCCCCCTCTAATTCCCCCTCCCTCCCTCTCATTCCCTCCCTTCACTCTCCCTCCCTCTCATTCTTCCTCCTTCACTCTCCCCTTTTCCTTCATTCCTTCCCCTCTTCTTCTACTTCCCTCATTCCTCTCTTACCTTTTCCCCTCTCCTTCCTCTCCCCTCTCTCCCTCTTTCCCTCTCTTTTTCTCTCTATTCCTCCCACTCTCCTCCTCCTCTCCTCCTCTCTCCTTCACTCTCCACTCATTCCCTCTCCCACTCTCCATCCCTCCCTCCTTCCCTCTCCCTCTCTCTCCTTCACTCTCCATCCTCTCTCCTTTCTCCCTCCCTCTCATTCCCCTCCCTTCACTCTTCTCCCCTCCCTTTTTCCTCCTCTCCCTCCCTCCCTCCCTCCCCCCTCCCTCCATCCTCCCTCCCTCCCTCCCTCTCATTCCCCTGCTTCACTCCTCCCCCCTCTCTTATCTCTACCCTCCTCTCCCTCCCTCTCATACCTCCCTTCCCTCTTCCTCCCCTCCCATTCCTCTCATTCCTCTCCCTCCCTCTCTCCCTCCCCTTCTCTCCCTCCTCCCATTCCCTCCTCATTCACTCTCCCTCCCTCTCATTCCCTTTCCCCACACTCTCCCCAACTGGCCAAAGATCGATGCTAGACCGTCTCCTACCGTTACTGTGGGTCTGTTGATTACATCATTGTTGTCTGGTTGATTGTGTGTATATCTTCTGAATACATATGTAGATAGATATGTATGTATTTCTGTATAATATGTATATCTCTCTCGTTATCTTTATCTACGGTTATCTATCTCTTGTATGTCAATTTGTCTCGTTATGTGTAATCTCTCTCTCTGGTATGAACCCTGCCATCATCACTCAGTCTAGTACAGGATGAGAAATGTGGTAGACTGGACGTGATGTTCCTGTACTGGGAATGTGAGAAGTTTTGCTTGGTGAGAGGGAGAGAAAAGAAGAGAGAGGGGTGTGTCTGTCTGTCTAGGGTGAAAAAAAACGGTTGAAATGATGTTTTAAAGGCGTCGTTCTCGATCTAATAGTCCGTTTCTCTCTCTCTCTCTCTCTCTCTCTCTCTCTCTCTCTCTCTCTCTCTCTCTCTCTCTCTCACACACACACACACACACACACACACACACACACACACACACACACACACACACACACACACACACACACACACACACACACACACACACACACACACACACACACACACACACACCACCACACATTTCAAGTCTATTCCAAGTCGTAGTATATAAAAAATATGGCTAAAAATACTCCTTTCAAGTATTCTCGCCACACACACACACACACACACACACACACACACACACACACACACACACACACACACACACACACACACACACACACACACACACACACACACCCATTTACTTCGCTACAGTATCGAATGTTAAAAATAATTGCACCCATCTCTTGTTTTCCCTGGTAGACAGACAGGCAAAACGATAGAGGGACAGACAGACAGACAGACAGACCTAGACAGAAAGATAGAGGGACAGACAGAAACACGTAGATAGACAGATGAATAGACAGAGACAAACACAGAGACAGCCACATATACAAAGATAGACAGACAGACAGACAGACAGACAGACAGACAGACAGACAGACAGACAGACAGACAGACAGACAGTAAAATAAAGATAGATAGAAAGATAAACAGGTAAATATAAACACGCTTATATCCTTCCTACCCAACATAGGAGCAGCACAGATGAGGTAAACATTCCAAACACACAGACGAACTGACAGAAAGACAGACAAACTAGCGACGAGACTTACCGCATTATCATAGAGATGTACTGTATGTTCAAAACACCTCTATATTTCTGTCAGTTGAACAGACACACAAACAAACACAAGCAGATACATATACAGAGACACACACAGACAAGCATATACACCGTCAGATACAGATATACATAGGCAGACACATACGTACATAGACAAACATACACAGACAGACATATATACAGACAGACATACTTACACAGGTAGACACAGATGTACACAGACAAACACATACATACACAGGTAGACACAGATGTACACAGACAAACACATACATACACAGGTAGACACAGATGTACACAGACAAACACAGACACAAACACAGACAAACACAAGCATAGAGTAGATAGTAAGGTAGTGTATATGTACTGCACTGTGCTAGCGTGGGGTGAGTCATGCACACTAAGATAACACTGCGTAGTTTAATGACGTCTACACAGCCACGGTACAGGATACGTACTGTACGTGCGTAAGGACGGTCATGCGTGTCCGTCCTTCACTCGTGCATTGATAAAACGTACACTGTTTTTTCCTTCATGGTAAAACATGCGCACAGAGAAAATATCTTCATGTTTGTAATGGCCTTTTGCGTGTGGAAATACATACATGTGTTCATGGGTAGAAACAGTCAAATGTACAACTTTAATTCGTACATGGAAATACTTACATCACCCAAATCCTCACATCTTTATCACTTTAATAAATACATGTGTGTTAATGGGACCAAAAACATTTAATGTATGCAAATTACCGACGTTTACATATATATACACGTACGGGGAAATAAATGAACAGATATACCAACTCTGTCTCACCCTCTGTATAGTATGTGACGCTAGGCCAACGTGACTGACACCCTGGGCTGACTATCTCACCCTGTGTTGCTATGTGCCGTCAGGCCCACAATAGTTCGGCCTGTAAATGTATCTGTCTGTCTCCTGTTATTTTGTGTAGAAAAATAAAGAAAGTAAGCGAAAAAAAAGAAAGGAGCGTTTACAAGTAGAAAGCGTGTCGTAGATAGATAGATAGATAGATAGATAGATAGATAGATAGATAGATAATCATTGAACAATATAAAAAAAATCGAAAAACACGCCACCATTAAATCACACACACACACACACACACACACACACATACATACATACATTTTATCCAATTATATTCAGAGTGACAAATTCGACTACCCATTAATACACACTAATAATCCAGGGATGAAAATGAATTTATAATACAAATCTACAATAAATACCCAGGAATTATATCAAGTATTTAGCATTAGAGGCATAATATTTAAGCTGATAATTTGAGGTCAGAATTATACAGACTTATTAATGTATTGTTGTTGAATTGGAAGGTCAGATTAATGAGACAGATTTATGCGAGTCAGGTTTATGAGTCAGATTTATATGAGTCAGGTTTGAGTCAGATTTATGGGTCAGATTTATATGAGTTAGATTTATATGGGTCAGAATTTATGTGAGTCAGATTTATATATGAGTCAGATTTATACGAGTCAGAGAGTTAGGGTATAAATGGTTGTGATTGAGTAAATTGACGATAAATCTGGATGAATAGAAGAAAGTTGAGAGTAAAGAAAGAATAGATTAAGAATAAAGACACGTTAGAATTATAGTAATTATAATTAAAGGCAGAAAGACAGAATAAAGATAGAGAAAAGAGAGATAAGATAATAATTATGATAAAGAAAGCTAAATGTAATAAAACCAAAATAAAGGTGAAATAAAACAAAGATAAAAGAGCGAAGATGAAGTAATTGGCTGATATAAAATAACTACTGTATATCCTCAGAAATAAAACCGACAAAATTAAATGTGTAAAGTGTTAAAAAATAAACCATTACAGTAACAAAAGTCGACCATTAGTAAAACCAATAAAATATGATAAATTACTGGCCAAATAAAGCCGAACTATTAAAATGACATTAAAAAATAAACCATTATTGTTTAAAGATAAAACTTATTTACGGTACTTAAAAAGATACTGTTTTGAGTTACCTTCAACATAATTAATTAAGGTTATATAAGCTTGGGGTTTACAATGTAATTATATAAGGTTTAGTTATAATATTGTAGCAGTAGGATGCCTGGCTAATTACACGTTATCTTGTAATTAATTAATTTACGCATGATAAATATTAAGAGACAAGGGTTTTATATATATATATATATATATATATATATATATATATATATATATATATATATATATATATATATATATATATATATATATATATATATATATATATATATATATATACCTTGTTCCTCTATATTTTCAAATCAATGCCTTAGGTTCCGTTAGTGTAGGTTAGGTTTGGTGAGGTGAAGTAAGGTAAGGCTGGGTTAGATTAGATTCTATGTTAGGTTAGATTAGATGAAATTCTATGTTAGTTTAGGTTAGATTAAATTCTATGTTAGTTTAGGCTAGCTTAGATAAAGTAAAGGTTATCTTGGATTAGGTTAGGTCAAGTTAGGTTGGGTTCAATAAAGACGAATTTACAATTAAAACTGGTATGGATATCGTCCTTACCAGAGGCCAGGATGGGGACGAGTAGCGTGACCAACGTGGAGAATCGCATTGTCTTCACCCGGCTGTGTTCTCTGTAACGATGGAAGGAAATGTGTTAAGGTGATGGCACTGTGATGGCATCTCTGGCACTATGACATTAATTCCTTTGAAAGAAAATGCTAAATTACCCTAAAAATATTATCTCCTCAAGATTATGCCAATAACATAAAAAAAAGTGCTCGTGTTAATTTAACTCTGGAATTAATTATAACTCACTAAATTGTCGATGTTTCGTCTCCTAATTCCGGTGTTTATTGTACCAGAATTAATTTACTTATTCTCATCTAATTATAGAATTATCCAACACCTGTCACTGTAGATTAATTCCAAATCTCGTCTACTAATTCTGGTGCTTCTTATACCGAAACAGAGTTAGTTTATTTTAGGCTATTATTAAGGATTATCTATTTCTCTCCACTTTAACGAAATATCACAAAAGTCAATCCACCACCCGCTTGGCCTGACCCAACTCCACCTGACCTGACCTAAATCGACCTGACCTGACTTGACTGGTGAATTTCTCTCCTAAGTAAGGGATTTTGACTATTATATACCGTATATATATATATATTCTTCTCTTTATATACGCTGGTGGGTGTATGGACAGGTACTGCACTAACGCAGCTTTGGCCAATTTTTAAACCATCCTTATTGACATTTTGGGTGATGGAATTTGTATTTTCATTTTTTTCCTCCCATATTCTCTCACCAACCCTCTATCTCTCTCTCACTTTCTAAATCTGTCCTTCACACCTTCTTTCTCCTCTTACCCTTCCTTCCTTCTCACTCCCTCTCACAGTCCCTCCTTCTCTCACATTCTCAAGCTCTCTCCCACCCTCCCCTCTCACTCCCTCTCACAGTCCCTCCTTCTCTCACATTCTCAAGCTCTCTCCCACCCTCCCCTCTCCCTCCCTCTCACAGTCCCTCCTTCTCTCACAGTCTCAAGCTCTCTCCCACCCTCCCCTCTCCCTCCCTCTCACAGTCCCTCCTTCTCTCACAGTCTCAAGCTCTCTCCCACCCTCCCCTCTCACTCCCTCTCACAGTCCCTCCTTCTCTCACATTCTCAAGCTCTCTCCCACCCTCCCCTCTCCCTCCCTCTCACAGTCCCTCCTTCTCTCACAGTCTCAAGCTCTCTCCCCTCTCACATCCCTCCTTCTCTCACATTCTCAACTCTCTCCCACCCTCCCCTCTCCTCCTCTCACAGTCCCTCCACAGTCCCTCCTCTCACATTCTCAAGCTCTCTCCCACCCTCCCCTCCTCCCTCTCACAGTCCCTCCTTCTCTCACATTCTCAAACTCTCCCACCTCCTCTCACTCCCTCTCACAGTCCCTCTCACATTCTCGCTCTCTCCCACCTTCCCTCCTCTCCCTCTTCCATTTCCACTTCTGATTTCTTCTCACAGAAAAAAAAACAGATTTTCTCTCACTTCGCTTCGAACACACACACACACACACACACACACACACACACACACACACACACACACACACACACACACACACACACACACACACACACACACACACACACACACACACACACACACACACACACACACACACACACACACACACACACACACACACACACACACACACACGTATATATTTTACTTATACTGTATTTATGTATTTCTATGTGTATTTTTGTATTCATGTTTACTTTGTTTTTAGTTTACAAAGGAGTAATGTTTTGATTTAGTTGTTTATTATTGTGCTAAGTGCTTTAACTACCAGGGTTATTAAGGACTCTTTGTTGTTAAGTATTAAGTGTGATTAATCTCTCTCTCTCTCTCTCTCTCTCTCTCTCTCTCTCTCTCTCTCTCTTTTCTGTTGTTCGTAGATAAAAAAAATGATGAAAGAACAAATCATCATATCATATGATTTGCTTTTCATTTTTATATTCTCGTATTATATGTTATATAGTGTTATATCCTTATATGTTAAACCTTAAAGTTGTCTATGCAGTTCTATGCTATACTATTCTGTGCTATACTATGCTACATTATACTGTGCTATAATTTGCTATAATACTTTAAGAGTTTTTGCTTCATTATGCTGTAACACAATGCTATATAATGTTAAGCTAGTCATCCCTTGTAATGCTATGCTGTAGTACCCTCTGGCTATACTAAACAATGCTGACTCATTATGTTATGCCTTGCTGTATGGTACCAAGAGAAACTACCATTACACTCTACGGTCTCATTAAGCCAAGTTTAACTACTAAAGTAATTTTAAGGTGAAGTAGGTGAATTAACCTCTTAATACGGCGACCAATAAACAAACACATTCAAAACAAAGACAGGGTAATGGAGAGAAATATATGATGTTAGATAGACAAACAGACAAACAGACAAACAGACAAACAGACACTAGACACAAACAGAATAAGGGAATAGCGAAATATCGACAATAAAGATAAATAAATATAAATAAAACAAATTAATAACGTAATAAAGAAAAAAAAGGTTGAATCTGTAGGTAAAGTGAAAAAATTAATACAAAAATTAAATAATAAAAATAATGTAGAAACAAAATGCCACGTGGAGTCGTTATCTCGCCTCCCCTTCACATCCCATTTACTGTGAAA